AGATCCCTTCCAACGCTATTATTTTGGGTTGGCTGGCTGGGGAATTCTAGGAATTGAAATCCACACATCTTATTTTGGGTTGGCTGGCTGGGGAATTCTGGGAATTGAAGTCCACACATTTTATTTTGGGTTGGCTGGCTGGGGGATTCTGGGAATTGAAGTCCACACATCTTATTTTGGGTTGGCTGGCTGGGGGATTCTGGGAATTGAAGTCCACACATTTTATTTTGGGTTGGCTGGCTGGGGGATTCTGGGAATTGAAGTCCACACATCTTATTTTGGGTTGGCTGGCTGGGGGATTCTGGGAATTGAAGTCCACACATTTTATTTTGGGTTGGCTGGCTGGGGAATTCTGGGAATTGAAGTCCACACATCTTATTTTGGGTTGACTGGCTGGGGAATTCTGGGAATTAAAGTCCAGACATCTTATTTTGGGTTGACTGGCTGGGGGATTCTGGGAATTGAAGTCCACACATCTTATTTTGGGTTGACTGGCTGGGGGATTCTGGGAATTGAAGTCCAGACATCTTAAAGTTGAAAAACACTGCCTTAAGATGTTGTATTAAACACAAACATTCTGTATTATTCTATTCCAGTAATATGCCTAATTAGATAAGCACTTTAAGTTCCTTTTCTAAATGACCAAACTTACCATCTCTGGGCTAGTGAGGGTGAATTAAGCTGTACCCATCCACAGAAGCATAGTTAGCTTCCCCTATAAAAACAAAGGTGACAATTAATCCACAAGGTAAAATGTCTGAAGCTAAATTTAAAACATACTTGATTAACCACAATGTGGGTAAGAACAAAAGAACCACCATTTAGGAACTATCGGGCAGAGGTAAAGTCTGCTAATTAAGATTAGGAGATTCACAAAATGTTTATTGCAAACAGCTGGAGGCAATTCAAATCAAAAGGTGGGGAACTAAACCACATCATTTAAAGGATCCAAAATTAACCCTTCCTTCCCTTGAAGCTGCTCTTTGTCCACAATGCAGGTAGTCCTCAACCTTTCGACCCGCTTTAAGTCGTCGTGGTCATTAAGCAGATCATCACGTGAGCGATTCCTGATTTTATGACATATTTTTGCAAGGCTTCTTAAATGAATCACCAGGGTTGTTAAGGGAAGTCATTGTCAGCCATGGGCCTTTTTTGCTGGAAACCGGAAGTAAACGCCAGTTTCCCGCCAAAAAACCCCCGGCATAAACCATGATCACCTACTTGGATGCTGCAAATGGTTGTAAATGTGGTTTGACTGCCATGTGGCCAAAATGTGATCACATGACAAGAGAGAGGCTGAAGGGGGAGGGAGGGAGGGAGGGAGAGGGCAGCCGTTGACTCTGGGTCATAAAAAGTACCTTTTGAGTCCGTTGTAACAGTCGCTAAGCGGCCGTTATCAGTTGAGGACTAGCTGCATGGGAAATTTTCATGCACCTGTTTTCCATTAATGTTGGGGGAAAGCAGAAGGGGATGGAGAAATTAAATCTCCGCCTTCCTTCCATCACAAGTTCTCTCTCTCTCTCTCTCCTCGCTCAATTTCCATTTTTAACAAGGCTGGAATTCTGCTTCAAAGTTCTCCATCCGTGGTCCAGAATTGTTATCCTGCCAGTTCGGTCGGGTTCGCCCGATGGAAATCGTGGCTGGCCACGCCCACCCTCCCTGGCTCTATGCTATCCCATTTAGGCACTTTCTTTATCCAAGGTACATGCGTGGAAGCCTGTGCGCATGCGCAGATGCTCACATTTGCGAACCGGTAGGGAAGCTAAGGAAATACCACCCCTGCTGTGGTCCCCAATTTTAAAAAGATGGAAGACCCCAGAGGGTACAAGGCTGTGGGTGAAATCTATTTTTTTTTACTGCCGGTTCTGTGGGCGTGGCTTGGTGGGGGTTGGCTTAGTGGCATCATGTGACCGGGTGGGTGTGGCTATGTAGTCATGTAACTGGGGGAATCAAAAGACAGAAACTCACTTTAACAATGTCTTGCTGCAGCAAGGTTGGACTAGATGACCTCCAGATCTCTTCCAGCCCTAGATTATCCTCTAAAGCTGAGTCTAGTGGTTTATAGTCCTTCCTGCCTCTTCTTATTCCCTCCCTCCCTCCCTTTCTTTTTCTTTCTTTCTCCCTTCTTTCTTTCCCTTCTTTCCTTCCTTCCTTCCTTTCACAGCATCCCCCACCCCATTTTTGGCCTAGCAGGCCTCAGAGAAGCCTGATGGGAGCAAAAACGGACCCCTTACCCCACCCCGTGTTTCTGGAGAACCTGTAGTTTTAAAAAAATGCTTTAAAAGTTTGTTTTTTAAAGTTGCGAAGTTCAGCTGTATGATGTGCGATCGTCGGAACGTTTTTTTAAAACCTTATTTTAGTATTTTTTTACTACCTGTTTGGGTAGTATTTCACCTCTGGTGCAAGGTTTACTCACCTGTATCGCTGGAAGGGATAGGCATCTGGGGTCTCCTGCAGAGGAAAAGAGATGCAGGTAAATCCGTCCTCCAGGCAACTCGGCTTACGCCGAGCCAGCACAACTAACTCTTAAGCAAGTCCTCAAAAGAGGACACGACACTCATCCTAAGTACGGGCAGTCCTCGAATAACGGCCACAGTTGGGTCCCAAAATTTCTATCCCAAAGCGAGACAGCTATTTAGCGAGCTTTTGCTCCATTTTACGAGCTTTCTTGCCTCCGTCGTTAAGTGAATCCCTGCAGTTGTTTAGTTAGTAACGCGCTTCCACCGTTGCGACCTGGACTTATCAGGTCACAAAAGGAGATCGCATGACCCATAAATATGGGCCAGTTGCCAAGCTTCCGGATTTTGATCATGTGACTATGGGGTTGCTACAAAGGTCGTAAGTGTGAATAACCATTACACGACTACCTGTATATGACAGGATGCATTTTGGCTCTCCCTTCTTTGTTTTTTTACGGG